TAAATATAAATTTATATATATGTTTATGCTTATATTATTTATATTATATTACTGCAAATGTTTATTGATAGATTCTGATTTTACTTCCACATTCAAACGCAGAAAAAAAGAAACATATTGGATTTTAAAATTAAATACACATAAACTAGGGTTGAATAGGGACTTAGGTGTTTTAAATCTTTATAAATATTTCAATAGTTAAGCAATTTTTTTAGATATAGTAAAAAAAATTTTTTAAACAACATTTAAAATATTTATGACAGTTAGATTTAAGTTAGGAATATCCGAACAGTGACGTTCCATATCACGTGACGTCCGCGTCTCGCGAAGGACGCTACTTGCTAACAAACAGTAATTTTAATTCATTTGTAACAAACAGTTATTTCTGATGAAAAATTGAGGACAATTTGAAATATCAAATATATATATAAATAAATAAATACTTTCATAAAATAAAACATTATTATTTTTTAATTTGAAACTTTATATATATATATATATATATATATATATATATATATATATATATATATTCATGAATTATTCACACAAAAACAAATGCAAAGGTTAATGATTTAATTGGCGAGAAATCCATCGTCGCAAACAATTCAAATAATATACAAAAAACTGCGCGCTCCAAAAACAATAACTCATTTCCAATAGCATTTTCGGATACAACAATACATATATTTTCGTTGTCCTCTTATTACTAAGAGAAAAAACAAGAACAACATACCATACCTGAAGATGTCTGTCTAGGAACAGACGAAAGCTTGTAGTAAAATAAAAACTAATGCGGCAGAAATTTATAGAAACAAGGATCTTTTTCATTCATAACGGATTCGGAGGTTTTTGTATATTATTTGAATTGTTTGCGACGATGGATTTCTTGCCAATTAAATCATTAACCTTGCATTTGTTTTTGTGTGAATAATTCATGAATTTGTAAATTGATTGCACGTTTATCGAAATATATATATATATATATATATATATATATATATATATATATATATATATATATATATATATATATATATGTGTGTGTGTGTGTGTGTGTGTGTGTGTGTGTTTGGTTAATAACCAAATTGTAGATATATATATATATATATAATTGGAATTAGTATTACTATCGGAATTTAGTGAGTTGCTGCGTTATATTGAGTCTAGTTACTTCTTTGTCATTGATCCAGTGGTATAACGCTTGCGTTTTATCGTAACGGTCCGGGTTCGATTCTCGGTAGTGGATGTGTACTGGTGAGGAGTCCCCCCACCCAAAGGATAAAAGGATATATATATATATATATATATATCATCGAGGCTAGAAGAATCCTCAACTGGATGGCTGTTTTATCTTTATATATATATATATATGCGAACCGAATTCATATAAATGTAATTTTTTGACTACTTTCACTCTTGTAGCCCAAACGGTAGAGTACCTTTTCAAATGCTTCCCCCGATTTCAAAGCCGAGGCGTTTTATTTTATTTTGAATGTAACTGTGTGGAGCTGTGGTATAGAGTATTGGCAATTAAGATGTAATAAATAATATTTAAAACTAAAAATGTCTTTTTCTCTCTATCTCCCTCCCTCTATTTCTCTTGTATGGTTAAAATTCAGATCCATTAATTCTATGGAATTTGTGTTGTTACGTTTCTGCTACTAAACTGAGTAGATATGCCTTTCAAGAAAACTTCAATGAGTGAGTATGCTTTAAAGGCAAATCGACACTTGCTTGATTGTAAAACACGCCGGAAGAAAGGGTAGTTCCAGCTGCCAAAAGGATGACGTAGGTTCAAATCCCGCCGAAGAGACACCTTTTCTTTAATATATTTTATCAGGGTGCAAGGCAGCAGATAACATAAATACTGTTCAAATTAAACAGAGCATCTACAATAAATATAAGTATTCACTAAAAAAATAACGTTTAACGTAATTTTTAAAAAAAAATATATATATATATATATATATATATATATATATATATATATATATATATATATATGTGTCCGAATGTAATGAGAAAGAAAGTAATATATAAATTCTAACGTTCACAACGTTAATTCAAAAGGAGGCTCAATACCGATAGTAGAGCAATAAATATTTATTATAATTTATTCATATAGACAAAATTTACTCACTACAAAGATGCAACTTAGTTTTGGTGCATTTAATTGCACTTCGACTGGTGAGAACCAAAATGGTTATGAACAATTTTGTTTGCAAGCAGGCGGCACGTGGAGCATCACTTGCTTTTGTTATTATTTGTTTGACAAAAATAGTTACATTTTAAGAGGGGGTGTGTCAGGATAAAGAAAACTAGGAGAGCCAAAAGGGTGACAAAGTGAAACAATAGTGTTTGTTGATATCAGTGTGGTCAAGGATTGTTTAGATGTTAATATTTAACAGACCCCCTCCCCCACCAGGGATGTATGTGGCACAAGGCCGAGTTTATCGTGGATTCTCCAAGACCGGAGGCTCGCCCCAAAAATACAATTAAATTAAAAGCACTAGTTCTGTTTCATTTTCAAGCGAATTATATAATTGAATCTGAAGTTGTTAGCTTCTGTTTTTGAAACATGGAAATTCCTGTGTAGCGATGGAACCATATTTTTAAATCAGTTAATTTATAACATTTACGCTCTGTAAAGTTACACTGGGCACTGTTTTGTAAAAATAAAAATATCATCAAAAAAACACCGGATTATATATCTTACTGTTCTTTTTTTTTTTAATATATATATATATATATATATATATATATATATATATATATATATATATATATATATATATATATATATGGTTTAACAGCAAAATTGTCCAAATTGTTTTTACGACATAATTATCCATCCCGCAAAAAATGTTTAATATTTAAAAAAAACATTAAATTAATTGAGTTTTTTCCCCAGGTTTTTAGATAAGATGTTGATAGCCATCTTGTAAGAAGTACTGAAAAACCCTTCGAGTTATTCAGGTAAAAAGAGAACGGGTTAAAATTGTTTTGTCTCACATTCGCTGTCTTCTCAACTGAGCAATGGTGAGAGGATAAAGATCATTCAGGCCTTGGAAAATCACTATTCGGTTCATAGCATCTTCAGCATCTTTCTGTAGAACCACATTTCCGTTGCTTCAAGTCTCTTCATTATCTTTGAGGTGATTGTCCAGCATTCGATGCTATACAGGAGGACAGATATCACATGACAGTTCAGTACTCTTTTCTTTGCTTTTTCAGTCTCTTAATGCTTTGCTTACCTTTTGGAATGCATCTTTGGCCATGTCAATACGTTTTCCGATGTCAGTGTTGCACTTTCCGTCCTCTACCGCTCTAACAGATACCTGACTCAACGAGAGGAACATAGATTCTCACCTCTAGCGATGAACGGGCGTTCTCTCAAGGAGGCCCCATGCCATCAGCGCCTAATGGGACTTGAGCTGAAGTCAATCCATACCTCGTGGAACTAATACATACGATCCATCGCTAAAGATACTGAAAAAATAGTCGGTCCTCTGTACCGCTCCAGTAAGTACCTGACTCCTCCTGCTATCTTCTAAGTTTGCTAGAACCAGATCAAACAGAAAATGGCGTACGGTTGCCATATATGGGCGCGAGCTGTCCAGTCTTTCCTTTCCATTCTCGATAGAGTCCAAAAGCGTTTCCACGTCCTTGTGAGTGATGAATTATTTTCAAACCGGAACCCTTTTCCCACGGAAGAAACATCGTAAGCCTTTCGGTATCCTATCGCTATTTCTATGGAAACTGTTCAAACGAATTGCATTCCTTACTCCCACCAGTTCTAACCTTTACGGATAAGACCCGCCATGTCACGCACTTTATAACGAAAGACTCTAATTCTCTTTGCATTCCACTGGTGAGACGTAGGTTCGTTGGTTGGGTTTTATGGCATATCGACCACTTTAGATCATTTAATGCAAATCTAGTTTTTATATATATATATATATATATATATATATATATATATATATATATATATATATATGCATACACACACACACACACACACATATATATATATATATATATATATAGACGCATACATATATATATATATATATTAAATATATAGTACTATAAAACGTATAGCTGGCAACATTATTTTTTCAAAAACATCATCAGAGGCCTTGCTGTTGGACGTAGTTTATCGCCATACCTAGGACGCGAATGTAGTTTATCGCCATACCCAAGACGCGGATGTAGCTTATCGTCATACCCAGGACGTGGGTAAGGTCTGGAAAAAACTGGGAGTTCACTATTTGCCCAGTGCTGGGACCCTAACAGGTGCTACCACCTCGGTTTAGACCTGGGAACACCAGCAATTAAGAGGTGGTTCCACGCTGCTCAAAACCTACTGATCAGAGGCATTGATGTTGGATGCAGTTTAACGTCATACCCAGGACGGGGTGAGATGTAAGTTCCACACGAGCAGCTACTTCCTACGAAGTGGAAGTGGAACTGACTCCCAAGACGATGCTTTCCCGATTACTGAAATCTTGTCCTGTTCAAGTCTCGGGTTAACCGTTGTCTTCTCTAGATATCCCCAGAAATTGTACATCTTATTCTGTAATACTCTAATTGGAGTGGTTCTTGGGCCTTGTCGTTGGTGAAGATTATTAACAAGTAAATAAATAAATGTAAAATTTCAAGCTTATTTTTCTTCGTTTCTGCTAATAATTGTCTTATTGCTTTTACTATTATGCAGCAATTGTTCTCATTATTTGCAAAATGTCAATGGGCATTGGAATCTCTGAACGGCGTGGCTGATACTAAAATATTCTCTTCGACAGCAGGCTTCCGGATAAATGCCGCCAGCCGAACCAAGTCTAGGGTGGGGGAATATTTAGGGGTGGTTAAGAGGCGCGGCAGCACGTTGAGGGTGGGTCTCTCTGTACGGCTTGCATTAAAAGCTGAGATTGAATTTCTGATTCGCTAATTATTGTGTGTCATTTGGGAGAATCCGATCAATCACGTAGGGAACACTATCTTCTTGCCACGCTGGTCGGGGGCGAACGCACGGCTGGCGGTTTGGCTCGCTGATGGGAAGAATGCAGTTTGAGATTTAATCTAATGAAGGTGATTCTCCGTCGATGGGACGTGATGAAAAAGGCCTGGACGATACTGTGGTTAATAGCAGATAGAAGCAATGGTAGGGGGAAAAGAAGGCGTTTTGGGGAGGGATCTGCGGAGAGAAAAGGTCAAGGGGTTAATGGGGAAGTCCGTTAACCTCAAAATGAAAGGAATAGAGAAAAATATAGGATTGCAGAGAAAAACATCGTCAATAAAGAGAAAAAGAAAATGAAAGCTGGGAGATTTAAAGGCAAACAAAAACATTCAGTAAAATGGAAGGAAAAGGATGAAATCGGACAAGAGTAAAGAAAGAAAGAAAGAAAGAAAAAAGAAAGAAAGTAAAAAGAAAGAAATAAAAAGAAAGAAAGAAAAAAGAAAGAAAGAAGAAAGAAATAAAGAAAGAAAAAGAAAAAAGAAAGTAAAAAGAAAACAGAAAGAAAGTAAAAAGAAAGAAAGAAAGAAAGAAAAAAGAAAGAAAGAAAGAAAAAAGAAAGAAAGAAAGAAAAAAGAAAGAAAGAAAGAAAGAAAAAGAAAAAGAAAGTAAAAAGAAAACAGAAAGAAAAAAGAAAGAAAGAAAGAAAGAAAAAAGAAAGATTAAAGAAAGAAAAAAAAAAAAAAGAAAGAAAAAAGAAAGAAAGAAAGAAAGAAAATAGAATCGAAAGGAAAAGTTTGAAGAGAGAAAAGCCAAAAACGGGTGGAACAAACAGCAAATCGTAAAGGATGCAACAGAGAATTTGTATAAAGAAACTTGTTTCGATAAATATATAAATAGATATAAAACAGACTGAGATAAAAAGATCGATAGGAACAGACAGACAGATATATATATAGACAGAGACAGCGAAAAATGTAAACAGACAGACATAGACAGAAATAGATAAAAAAACCGATAGAAAAACAGAGACAGTTTTAAAAAGACGGACATATATGAACAGACAGACATATATAAAAAGACAGATACACAAACAGAAGAATAGATAGATATAAAAAGGCTGACAGACAGATATAAACAGACAGACAGACAGAGGAACAGAGAGATATAAAAAGGCAGACGACAGATATTAACAAACAGACATAGACAGAAATAAATATAAACAGACAGAGAGACAGAGAGAGACAGACAGAGAGACTTATAAACAGACGGATATATATAATACAGACAGATATATACACAGACCTAGATAGATAATAAAAAGGCAGATAAAAAGATAGATATACACAGGCATATATATATATATATATATATATATATATATATATATAGATAGATAGATAGATAGATAGATAGATAGATAGATAGATCGATGGATAGATATAGAAATGGATAGACTGGAAGAAAGAAAGAAAGAAAAGAAAGAAAGAAAGAAAGAAAGAAAGAAAAAAGAAAACACAAAACAAAAAAGGAGAAAGAGAGGGGAGAGAGCAATAAAGAAATGCAAAAAAAAAAATATATATATATATATATATTATATAGATAGATAGATAGATAGATAGATAGATAGATAGATAGATAGAGAAATGGATAAAAATGGATAGACTGAAAGAAAGAAAGAAAGAAAGAAAGAAAGAAAGAAAAGAAAGAAAGAAAAAAAGGTAACACAAAACGAAGGAGAAACAGAGGGGAGAGAGCAATAAAGAAATGCAAAAAAAAAACAATATATATATATATATATATTAGATAGATAGATAGATAGATAGATAGATAGATTTCGAAATGGATAGACTGGAAGAAAGAAAGAAAGAAAAAGAAAGAAAGAAAGAAAGAAAAGGTAACACAAAACGAAGGAGAAAGAGAGGGGAGAGAGCAATAAAGAAAAGCCAAAAAAAAAGACAAAACAAAAGACAAGCGTAACGCTTAAGAGAAACTATTGGTCGACAGTGAAAAGAATTGAAGGTGAATAACCTAAAAGAATGGAAGTAAACGACAAATTTTAGGACGAATGATGACGCAGTTTCAACAGATAAAATAAAAGAAAGTAGGAAACACATTTAAGCGGTAAAATGAAAAAAAAATATTAATAAACTTTAAATAAAAAATAAAGGAACATTTTAAACAAATTCCTGACGGAAATATTTCTAAGAAAAATGAGCAAGAGGATAGGAAAGTCAACAGTCAAATGAAACAAGGAGAGAAAAAAAGAGTAAAGAATGTGCGTGAGTGGGGAAAGTCGAAGGGAGAAACGATATTCAGAGTTGAAAGAAAGTGTGAGCTTATAAAATGAGGAATGAAATCGGGCCGAAAAACGAAGATAAAAGTATAATTACGAATGAAGTAATATGTAAACGAAAGTAGGAAGAAAGAACAAAACCTCGGAAAACGGAATATACCATGATATAATAAATATACAAAACAATAAAATAGTAAAAATATCGACGGGACGAAAAGTAACCACGTATACAAGGCAGAAATGATTGTGGAAAGAGTAAAAGAATAAAGCAGAATGAGTAACAAAGGAGGAATAGAAAGAAGCAAACAAGAAAAAATAGGTAAGGTAAAAGAAGAGAGGTCGAAAATATAGATAGATGAAGGCAGACGACAGATATTAACAAACAGACATAGACAGAAATAAATATAAAAAAACAGTACAGAAAGTACTTCGCGGAATACTCATAGCCATATTACCAAGACTAAGAAACAATCAGTGAAAATCCGAAATGGAAAAGCGTGACAGAAAGGGAACTAAAAAAAAAACAAAAAAAAAAAAACAAAAAAAAAAACGAACTGGATCACAGATCAATTCTTAAAATATCAAACCAACACCAGGAAGTTTGGGTAAAATTATAAGAGAGGGGAGTACAGACGAAAAAGAAAAACTGAGCGAAACGAAACGAAAAGAAAAGAAATTCTAAGAAACAAGAGACTAAAAGAGCAAAGCAAAGAGAATGGGACGTGTAAGCTTGGCTAAAATTTAGGATCACTAGCGGAATGGATGAAAGCGTGCGTGATTTACAGTGGTACGTGGCCCAAACGCTGAGGTAACTCTGAGCAATAGAAAGCAATAATGGCCAATTCTGGTGAATAAGAGCCGGTTGACCGGAAACTCTACCAGGCTGAACGAAAAGGGATTGTAGAATAACAGAATAGTCGACTTGGCGTGTTCAGAATGGAATTCCTAGTTTCACGGCTTGTATGGGGCACGTTGCTGAATAGCAGCGGTAACCAAATGTTGCTAATGAGATATTGGACATGGTTACTAATAATAAAAGAACATCTGCGCCAACAGCTAAGTTATAGAGCATTGGACAATAGTTGGAGAGGGCCGATGTTCATATCTTAACTCTGTTACACATATAACGTTTTTAAAGATATTTATACTATTTACATTGTTCGGACTGTTGTCCTCATCTTTATTGCCATAGTCACGATGTTTCAGTCGTTGTACGCTCCGGCCTTCTTCAAGAGATATTTGTTAGAATTTCGAACCGAACCCTTTATTCAGTTCACAGAAGCAGATTGTTATAGAATTACAACCCTAATTTAAAAAGGACGCCGTCCTGGGTATGGCGATAAATTACGTCCGGATCCTGGGTATGACGATAAACATTTACGAATAAACGTTATCATCTGAATCCCACAGAGACAAACTAGAATTATTATACACTTACAGACATAAAGCAATATTTACGGTTTTTAAGTTAAACTTGGAACTCGTTAATTTCTTGGAACTTCAAATGGATTCGTAGTCTCTCCTTGAATTCGGAACGCCACAAATTATAACTGGTGTTCCAATAACTTGGACCGATTTTAAATGTGAATTCAGTTTAAGCGTCTAATGATTTTTTTCTTTTTCTTTCAGATTTGGCGGACATTTGGGTGATATTATTTTCCACACATAATTGCCATGACTTAAATAACATGAACCAATAGAGAAATAAATACATTTTCACCAATAACACTGATTTATTTACTGCTGGCTTTGATCCGTCTTAATGAAACACCCTTATATATCATCCGTCTTAATGAAACATCCTTTACTAACTTTCTTTAATGTGAAACCTTATTAACCAATGAAAATCAAACACCACAACGGTAAAAATGGCAGAATTTTTTTCTTTTTCTCCATATACCATTCTCTGATGAAACGTTAATAAAAGTAAAACATGTTAGATTGATAAATGTTTACTAATTGTTCTTTATCCTACTATCCTTCGGATTCCGATCATTATTTGATCTGTATTTGATCCTAACTTATACGCATTATTATAGTAAAATCATTTGAAATATATACTTATAGTAAAATCACTTCATATATATTACTATAGTAAAATTCATTGCTATACATCGCTATAATAAGGTAATTTGATGTGCATTTCAAGAGTAAAAGTTAAAAATAATTGTTATTCATAGTAACACAACGACTGGATTTTGTGTCGCAAAGTTTCAAAGCTGGAAGCGTATATACGACTTCTTCGTAGTTAAATCTAACAAAAACACTTGCTACTTCGAATCATCAGTCAGTTATGTGCCATGTGATACACGCTCAGGCGATCATGTATCCTTCGATACATGACTGACGAGGCAGATTTTTTTTCCCGCAGTAGGTTGCCATTTCTTTGTACTGAGTGGAAGAGGATTCATACCTTTCCCAAGGGTATTAGCACGTAAATGAATGTTATGGATTCGACTGGAATTCGAACTCGGCCCTCTGATTCCTCAATCCGAGCCGCTATCCATTACTCCACCGTGCCCTTGGGTATTTATTCTCCAGGAACCTGAATTCATCTTTCGAAAATTACTCACTTTCATGGATATGTTTCAGTCAAGCCTAAAACAAATTCAAAATATAAGCGTATAATAGTTCAGAACATTCTGGACTATTCCATGTTAAAAGATTTGTGTAAAAACAGGATGCCGGCAAAAGACACCCAAAATGTATAGACATTTGGAGCTTTCAAAAAGGCTATAAAACCTTGTGCTTTTTATTCACTAGTAGGTGCCACACGTGACCAAAAATGTCACCACCAGAACTCTTTAAAGACTTATTTTAAAAGCACTGAAATTTATTTATCTTCCTTGAATACTCATACCCATGCATTATGTTGTCATATTTAACCTGTCCCCCCCACTAAAAAGTGATGTGACACAAGTTTGGGTTTACTGTGGGGAACCCGAGCGCGTATACCCGGGCCAAGGACAAAAATTGCGCAAGCTGCCAGAACCGCGTCGGGTGTGCTGGCCTCGGTAGTGACTTCTTATCCCACCTCTCTAGTGCAATGGGGTGAGGGTCTTATAGCAGACCCGGTAGCATGCAGTGCTGGCCAACGAAAAGGTGGCCTTGTGCAAGACACTACTCACGACTACCGGGTCTGCTACAAGATTGGTGACCATCCCGACGTGATTTTGAGGAACACTTATTTCTTATACAAAAAAAACCAAAACACTGTTTATTTCGGCTCTGCTACAAGGAAACACCCTCAGGCAGTTGTTCCTGAGGACATGGAACCTCACAGCATTTATTTTCCTGTTGTGGTAATGGTAATATTGTCCGTTTCCTTATAAGGAAACATTTGGCATTCATTGACCAAACAGCCAGTAATGTTTTCGGTTGATATTTATAACTTTTTAGAAACACAGGTCTCTTAAGTCCAGTATTTGTTATCGCGCTTTTCGCTATTGATGGGGGTTTCCTTAAAAACCTTCTATTTAATGTGATGTGGAATGCTAACATCTTGACGGATGAATCATTCTGATCCTATATTCGGTACACTCTCGTCAATCACTGAGACAGGATTTGTGAAAATGGAGATAAATTAGTTTGATGTCTAATTCACACACACACACACACACACACACACACACACACACACACACACATATATATATATATATATATATATATATATATATATATATATATATGTATTTAAAGAAAAACAGACCATTACATTACAATAATTTATTTCACCAAAATCCTTTTTAAATCATCAGGTAAACACTTCCAACAATGAAAATCTATATATATATATATATATATATATATATATATATATAGGAACAATCTAAAGTCACGCTCCACTCGGATAACTTCACTGCTATTGAAAAGACACAGAGATGCCAGGTTGAAATTCGTTCGTGAACATAAGGATAAGGGAAAATCATATTGGGAAAAAGTATTACGGACAGACGAAATCAAAATTGAGCTGTCTGGACGTAATTCTAGAAATCATGCATGGGGGAAAGATGGCGATGTCTTTAAACAAAAGAACACAGTTCCAACAGTGAAATATTGTGGTGGCTTGGGGATGTTTTTTTTCTGGCAGCATATCAGTAATAGATGGTAGAATGAATGCTGCAACACATCAAAATATTTTGAAAGCCAACTTAATGATTTCGGTTGAAAACCTTAAACTTCCTCTTGATTGGATTTTCTTAAGCACACTGCAAAATCTACGAAGAAATGACTTGCTGTAAATAATGTAAATATTCTGGAATGGCCAAGTCAGTCCCCAGATCTAAACCCAATCGAGAATCTATGGCGTTATTTGAAAATTCAAATCCAATCGAGAACTCCAAGAAACATCGCGGATCTGAAGACCATATGCGGAGAAGAATGGGGCAAAATACGAACTAAAATTAGCAAATCATTACTTGAGAACTACATGAGGTTGGCTGCTGTGGAAGTGGGAAAATGGCTAATACAAAGTATTAAATTAAAATTATGTATTCTTTTTGTATTGTGCGAATACATTTTTCACCCATTAAAATGGTTAAAACGGACTTATTTCTATTAAATTATTTTTTTTTGTTTTCTATGCTTATTTAGTTATTATGCATTGGTGTACTGTTAATTATATGAAAAGTATGTTTATTCATTAGTTGAAACTACAATAAATTAAAAATTTGTTTGTGTACGAATATTTCTTTCCCCTTCCCGCCACTGTTTAAGCAGATGATGTTGATAGCAAGCACAGAAAGGCAAGCACAGGAACTCCTACAGAAGTTAATAAAGGAAAACGAAAAGAAAAGATTAAACATAAAATATAACAAGAAAGAATATATGGTTGTCAGCAAAAGTTTGGTTCGTTGCGTTTGTTTAACGGCATATAAACTTATGGGTCACTTAATGGCGATATTTTATTTTCTTGTGAGGTTTGTTATTTTTTTCCCCAAAAATGTATTGCTGGCATTTTTTTTTTCAATAATGTATAATATTTTTTTTTTTTTTTTTTTTTTTTTACTATGAAAATATATTTCTGGTAATTTTGTCTAATTCATTTTCATATTTTCATGTTTTGATCACAGTTTGGGCGTTCACTATTTACCCATAGCTGGGTTCCTAACAGGTGCTACCATCCTGATCCAGGGTGGACCTGGGAACAACAGCAATTAAGGGGTTGTTCCATGCTCCTCAAAACCTTGCTACCGTATGTATTTTATCGGCATATTCGGGACAAGTTAGCAAATGAAATAGCCCAACTTACGAATTACAAATTGTAGATAAGAAAATTAACAAGCGTAAAAATAAAAAAAAAAAATATTTAGTATGTGTTTTAACAGAGGGTGGAAAATATGACCCCTAAATCCGAAGACGCATCGGGATAGCGAAAGATGATTTCTAAAAGCTAAGAAAAGTATTAAAACGAAGAAAAATATCGTTAGAAAAAAAAAAAAAAAAAAAGGTACTGAACTGTTATATAATATCGGTGTTCCTATATGGTAGCGAAAGCTGGAAAATTTCATCACATATGGAAAAGAGACTTGAGACAACAAAATTATGTTTCTACAGAAGGATGCTGAGAATACCATTAACTGAATATGTGAGAAACGACAGATTATTTGAGAAAATGTAAAGAAAAACAACATTTATACGTAGCATCATAAAGAGACAGTTGGGATTTTTAGGGCACATAAAGAGGAAAGGGGACTTGTAAAATTTGACACTCACAGGACATATAGAAGGTAAGTAGGTCAGAGTAAAGCACAGTATAACCTACCTAACGAGTTTGTGTAAAGGATGGCAGGACAGGGATTAAAAGATGTATTAAAAAGAATAAAAATTACTAAAATATTTTGGAAAAAGTTCCTACAATACCTTATTTATTTCATATAATGCGAATCTAAAGGCTTGTGAGATATTTCGAATTAAAAGGATAGACTACTTTCACAAACCCAGCGAATCAATTCTATTTGTCTACCAGAAAACTCTATCACAACACCAATTGAAAAGAATTAATCTAATCTTAACATAAAGTTTGTTAAATCAATAAAATTTACTAAATCATATGTAATAATTGCCACAAGAAATACAGAGGAGAAACCTCAAACAAAAGGGATCTTTTACAAAACAACACACTAAATGAATTAGTTAGAAACCATAATTAGTCTGGCCATAATTTTGTTTAAAAAAAAAAAAACAAGAACCCCCCCAAAAAAAAAACTACTTTAATTAAAAGAAAAAAATAAATCACTCAAACGAAAATGTATAGAAAGTGCTTTAATCAGTAGATCACCCACAATAAATTTATGTCCAGGTTATTCCAACATTTCAATTTTTTGGCAGATTTTTACAATGTGGGATATTTAATAATTAAAGTGATAAAAATATAAGCAAATGAATTAAACTAAATTAAATTAGATAGATTATATATCCAAACACGTATTTGAAAAAATGATCAAACATAATAGACATTCGTTGTTTGTTATATTTAACAATATATATTTGAATAATGATATACTGCTCCAATACACTAACTATAAGAGGGAAAAGTGCGAATTTGTAAACAGTTACTGCTACTGCTGATCCAAAAGCTTTTCTATGAAATGAGCACGCTGAGTCACTGGCGTGTTTATTCTAAAATAAATATGTAAACATTCACCTTCCTCTCTGCCGGGAGCTCATCGTTCAGGGGAAAAATCTCTCTGACTGATGCCATATCTGTTGGGTTCCGATCCTGGCTTGATGCAATCGGATGTTTAGCCACACTGATGACCTGTGATACATCAAAACAGTCTGTCTGTGGATGACACACACACACGCACATGTATATATATATATATATATATATATATATATATATATATATATATATATATATATATGTTAATAAGGTGTATTTTAACAGAAAGAATTCTCTCAAAAGATCATTTGCCAAATAAAATGGACAAATTCTGTCTATAAATTTCTAATTTAAATCTTTCAAATTTCTGAATAAGTTATTTTGTGTCATCGGCAAATTTGCCAAAATTCATATTAACCTAAATTTTGTATTATTTTGGTTTATATCAAGTTGATTGCTTGGATTATTTTTCTAGAATTCTTTAAAGCTAATCTTATTTCTTCATCAACAACATGGTTTAGTAAATTATTGTTCATAAGTGTTTGTTTTATGTTGCTTAATTCTCTATCATTTTAGCATGGTAAATCATGTTTTTTATAACAACTAATTTCCATCTATGTGGACATTCGCTTTTATAATTAAAAAAATATGAATTTTTACTAGTGGCTTACAAAAACACACGATTTATCGTGCTAAAATGATAACCAACTTGATATAAACAAAAATAAAGAATCCATTAAATTATTTTATAGTAACTAGATGCATCGTAATTATAAACAAGACATCTAGTCTGTTAAAATTATAATCCACCGGTATATAAAAGTTATAGATCTTAAAAAATAACTTAGACTTATCATCTGTTATAAACAATTTAAACGGTTCGATCTAATTCTTAGAAACAATTCATAATCACAAAAATGTAACCTATGTAAAAATAATGTTTATGAATTCTTATGTCCTTTGGGAGATTGCACCTCCAACACTAACAATCAGCAAATAAAATTGAATTCTTACATTGGCTACATATGCACCACACGCTCACGTAAAATTAGTGCAATTAGTGCAATTCGTGTTCATATAGATGAACATATGGCAAGTAAACAAA